TTTCCGAAATAATCATAGAAAATACATATGCATATTTAAATAGTATATTATGCAACGATCATGTAATGATGGTTATTAATACACGAGCATTAACCGGGATACGAAACGAGCCAAAGGCGAGTTTCGTATGGTTTATGCGAGTGTTTTAATAACCATTACATGAGAGTTGCATACGCTATTTTTTCTACACCCGATAAATAATCAAGACCTATAAATATTATATTTATATTGGTATTGAACACAATAACAGTAATTACTCGTATTTCTATAAAAAATTCTACAAAATTGTAATTAATGGTATTACTTCAGGTATTGGTATTTCCCTAGATTTTTGCGGTAAAATATTTTGTACTGTATTTTCTGCTTTCTCCGATATGTGTGGAGGAGTCTTCTATATCGCTAATATCAGACATTTTAATATTATAATTATCGAAGTTTAGCTACCTACGAAAATTTAATACGTTTTGACAACTAAAATAATTACATAGGAACCTAGGACAAACGTCAAACAGCATGCTTGATTGAAAAATTGTAGGTTTCTATTGATTAAAAATCTGTATCGTAATGAAAAATCTGTATCATAATGGGTATCATTATGAAACGGATTATGGGCATATAAGTGCATTATTATAATACGGGTGTAGAAAAAATATATTTCGTAAATAAATTAATTAGTTAGAAAAAAGATTTTCGAAAATGTTACACCAGGTTATACCTTTAAAAAATATTTTAAACGAGAAAACAAAACAGAAATACTCTTTGTTAGACCGGACCTGCGATTTATCGGCCTTTTTTATATTTTAAATCATCTATAGTTTATAAGTAATAAATTGAAGGGAGCGTAAGTCAGGGAATAGAGCAACGTTGCCAAAGTGGGTTCAGATGCACTAAAAGTTGTCAGTGTGTTCTAAACCTGAATTTGCTGTTAGGTAGCGCATGGATATCGCTCTTAAGACAAAATAACTAATTTTAAAATAATTTATGAATTTACCTCGGAATTTACTGATTTTTAAAATAAAATAAACATAAAAAGGTTTTAATTAGACCCAGCCGAGATTCGATTCCTGGCTTTTTTACTTGGAAGGCAAGCGCTCTGTCCTCACATTTTAGTATTTTGGTTTTAATACTCGTAATTAAAATAGTTTTATATAGTTTGATTACATTTAATTTTTTTTTTTTTTTTTTATTTTTCAAAATATGGACCAAATAAAAATGCTATTATTTATCGATTTCATCAACATAGACAATTGAGTATGTTGCGTCGTACATTCAGATTTTTACGTTGTCACCTTTGATGTTTTGTGTTTACGACCAGTTTATGACATATCGGTCGTAGTTTACATTTTGATTGCCTAGTTTTTCGCTCTGTTGAACGTTAGTTTAGTGGTTTTGTTGCGAAATATACTTAACCTACTATTCGTAAAATTTTGAGATTTCTACGTGAAAAAAAGAGTGCAAGTTTCACAGATTAAATTAATTTTATTTAGGAATACCTACTGACAACAAGCAATGTTTACAAAGAACAAGAAATAAATAATGCAAGAATCACGAAAGGCAGTAGATAATTTGGAATGTTCATATTACTAATTAAGTTAAAATACTGTTCTAGAAAAATCAATACACACATTTATAATACTATTCTAAAATCCTCACTCCTCTTTAGTAGTATAGATGTAATTTTTTTAATTTAGTCAACAATAATGGGGCAAATAAAAATGCTATTATTTATCGATGTTATTATCCGGTATTAAACTAATGCACTTTAGTATACCACATTCTATTTTAGATGGGCGCGGTATTGCCAAAATAACGAAAATATTATCTTTTTATTAATTGAAGGGTATTTATTTCTCAAAGAGTTGAATATTGTGTAAAAATTCAAGATAGCGACCATAAGAAATAACAAAGTTACGCTAGATAACTCTTAAACAAAAAAAAAATATTTTCAGTTTTTTTGAAATAAGTCAAAAACTACATAAATTTTAATAACTTTAAAAATGGGTTCAAAATAAGCATCGGATTTTCTATCTGCTTTATTAAGCGAGATACCACTATAAAGAATCGAATTTGGGACACTGTATATAACAAGTTGGGACAAAAGAAAAGTTTTAAATGTATTTCAGTTGATAAAGGAAATGGTTTACAATCAAAATTGAAAAGTATAAAATGGGAGCCCTAGCACAGTGGATATGTCTACATATGCCGTGGGCTCTAATGGTACACTGTAAGTAGAACACCAGTGAATAAATGAGTATATAGGGCTGAACTACTAGGATATTCTAGTAATAAACGGGAAAAACGTAGTGTTGGTTGGGCACTACACTCTTTTTGTACCTAACGGCCTAAGTAAAAAGCAGTCCTATCCTGATTTCCTACAAACGACAGGAGAGTTATAAAATGGGGCTTATTATTTAGTTAAAATGTATAAATGCTCACTAATAGCTTAAGAATATACAGGTTATTTTTAATTGTTTCTTTATTGCCATTTTAAGTCCTATGATAATGTGAAAACGCTCTCATTCTACACTTCCGAGCCAGGTTCAAGGCAAATAAATTGAGTTCAGTTCCCTTGTGCCTAAATTTATTTCAAGAACTTTTGCTTTATTTCTGCTTTTAAAAGTCCCACTTTTCCAGTAGTTCAACTTTACTCCGCCTTATATCTTCTACGCCCGTCCATTTCTCTCAAAATAAAAAGTGAGATAAATTGAATATAAAATGAGCAGGGTACATACGAGGGCCAAATATCAGATCAACTTCTACAATAAAAAATTCAATTTTTACCTAGGCAAAATGGCAATTGACTGCTACAAAAATTCAGCCTGGCTCTCACTTGTTACAAATAGTTACATAGTCAAAATCGCCTTATTTAGTTCTGTTGGTTTCATTAGAAGTATTTGCCATTAATTCTAAAAACTATTCAAGACTCGTATTTTCTCATGTTACTGTAATTTATATATCCTACTACTTTAAAAATAGCTTATTCGTAATGCCGATTCTGAATTATTTTATCGAAACACTTAAAAATATATTGAATGCGCATTCAATGAATTTTTAAGTTAATCCAAGAAACCATTACCATCTTATAAATTGTAATTTCCATTAATATCCGATAAACAGAATCCTACAGCGAATCTGTCCGTCCATCCATTTCACTTAAATTTTAAGAAATTGCTTCTGCGAGAAGAAACATTACCAGAATTAGCACTTTTATTCGTTATCTGGATGTTCCCTGAGGAAAATCGCGTAATTGAAGAAAAATCAAGTTTGTTCCGTTCGGTTGAGTTTTCGGGAACGAGTTGTCAGCTGTAAATGAAACCGTAAAAACTTTTTAAATTGGCTTTTAATAAATATCAGATTTATTATTTTAACTTTCGTAATAAATTGAGATTTTTATCTCGCACAATATTTTTTATTTTTTATAAATAAAGGTGGGGCAGAAAAATGAGCGATTTAAAAAAGTCGGTAAATGAAGAAGAATATTAAGTTTTACTAATAACTTTATTATTTTGTTAAACACCATAAAAAAGCATTAATTTTTGAAAATAACTCCCGGGAGATGACGTTCGTTCAGGTGTACATATTCTTTCAATCATGATCTGAAATTATTCATTACATTCCACAGCTATGCCAGAAGAATTTGGTCCACTTCTTGTCAGATCCGCTCTTTCAAGGTTTGAATCGTTCTTTGGTAGGTTAACTCGTTTCATTATTTATAAATGCTAATACACAGGAAACATGGGCGTTAGCGTCCCTACCACCTCTTAACGATACAGCGCGGTTGCTGGATTTTTTAAAAGCCTTCGTTATTCTGCCCCACCCTGTTCTACAAAAATTTAATTTTGTATACAACTGTTTTATTTTTAAACTGTAGGTACAAGTTTATGATCAATATATAGATTATTATTGAAAGTTTGTCAAGGAAGAGCAGGTTGACATATAAAAATAGAATTTGGTTAAACTTACAACCTAGTAATAATGCTGTTTTTGTTCTTATTTTCCATTCTAAATCAACACAAAATAATTAAAACACAATACGTGATAAAATAACCCACTTTTGAAAACTGAATAACATTAATATAAGCATAACGGACGTTGACAATAAATAATTAATATGATGTTCTATTTGTCAATAAAATTATGCATATGCAACTATCAATACCAGAAAGTAATATTGGTTGCCTAAATGTAAGTAATGTTTTACCAAAACACAATTTTATAAATAATCTAGTCAAAATTAGAAAAAATATTGTATGTAACACGTTACGAGATGCCATTTTAGGTAACTCGTTATATAAAGTAAGGCATTTCGTAACTGTTTGCACAAATAGCTACTTCGTAATCAGTTTCATAATGTTCAACATTATGCAACTGGTTACGTAAAGTAGATCATTTTTACACTTGCTGCGATTATAAAAAATGTCACTTTATGTGTCAAAATTAGAACAAAATATTTATTTTCGTTGAATTTACGACACACTTTCATTATAGTATACAGGGTGTTACTTAATGATAGGCTGTAAATGCAACCAATTTCAATTAGGTTCATATAAACATGTGTTCTAAAAGTCTGTTTTTCAAGATACGAGTGTCTTAAAAAATTGTTTTGGCAGTGTTGGCCCATTGTGCCAAATTTAAACAATATCGGCAAAAGGATCTTTGATTTCGCGCACTGAATACAAATACAGTCAATATATTAAATTAAAACACAAAATACAATTGAGTTTATCAAGAAAATGAACCATGAACTGAATCAAATTTAATCAAATACGAAGATGCTTCATAACTTGTTACGTATTTTACAGGTGCTAAAAATTGCGGTACAGAAAGAAATTGAACAGGTGGTGATCAGTAGAAAAGCTTAAAAAAGTCTTTTTATGAAATTGTAGTTTAAAGATACGATAATTAATACCCAAGACAAAACAATATCTTATAAATAATTATATCTTTAGATTGTGAAAGTAGAAGACATCATTATTAATGTTTTCTTTTTTTTTTTACAGAAAACTGGTGCCCGAATTAAAATCTACGCCAATATGGCTCCCCAGAGTACAGACCGAGTAATTCAAATTACTGGAGAACCCGCTAAATGCATTGACACTATTCGAGAAGTTCTTACTCTAATTAAACAGGTAAGACTATTCTTATATGAATAAAAAAGTTATTAATTCTTGATGTTTACATCTAATAATTTTATCTTATTGTGGTCTCTTACACCTATTAATTGGTATTTTGCTAGTGATTTTCTTGGACTTTAGGTTGAGAAAAAAATTTAAAGTTTTTATGGAGTATTTTTTTTTTGTTTTATAGTTAAGCTATTATTTTAATATATTTTCTTTTTATTATATTATTATTATTATACCAGGGTTGTAGCCATTGTTTTGTTTGGTAATTGCTGGAAAAACAAAAATTTAATATACAGGGTGTCATGAAATTAGACGGTCATGTTTTAACAGCGTAATCTACATCCTAAAATAGGAGTAAAAGTTCATATAAACATAAGTCCGAAATCGTTTTGTTTCCGAGATACAGGGTGTTAAAAGTGACACATTTTTGTAAACATTTTCTAAACTTTTAAAGATAACTAAGTGAAATTTGGTACAAATGCTAAACTTTGTACGCTCTATTTAATGGACTAAACGCCAGTTTTTCATCATCTTCATAGGTTGGTAAATTAGGGGAGGGGCTTAGGGTTAAATTTTCCTAAGTTTTTTGTTGACTGTTTTTAACATTTTTGACTACAAAATTTGGAAAACCATTTTTTTTATAATAAAGCTACTTTTATTGTATCTCGCTAGGACGCACCATTTTCAAGAGAAAAACATTTGAAAATTTCATGATAAGTTGATGTTATCTTATTCGAAAGTGTAAACAATAATTAGTAGGCCTGTGGAATCAGAAATTTTTATTTTTTTAACTTTAGAAAACCGGTGATTAAATAAATTTTAGAAAATATTTACAAAAATGTGCCACACCCTGTATCTCGAAAACGAAACGTTTCGGACCTATGTTTATAGGAACCTTGCATATTCTCATAATAAAAAAAGGTAAGATACATAATAATTTAATAATAAATTAATAAAACCATTCACTTTTGAAGAAATAAAGTATACATTTTCAAGTACTGTAGTGAATAGACTTGCTTGTTTGATGATCCTAAAATAATAGCTTGATTATAAAACAATTTAAAAAAAAATAAATACCTGCATAAACCATTGTCACTTTTTTTAATTGCAGATCCTAAAATTTTTTTACAAATAATAGGGTGAAGAAAAATAATACTTAGAACTTATCACAATAATATAATGTATTTTATTGCGACCGGTTTCGAAGCCAAAAATTTACTTCATTTTCTGGCACACCTAGTGAATTAAAAAAACGAATTATCTTGCAACATATGTAAACATTAAATTTAAGGGAAAACGGTTTATTTTAAACTAACAATAATACTAATGTAAAGTCAACAGATTTAATATAACTAACATTATATGTGAAGTTCGTTGAAAAATACAAAAGAAGGGGTGATATAAATCAACTTGTTGAAAAAGTAAACTGTTGACTATGACATAAATGAAGAAATAAATATAGTAATGATAAGGTAGAAAAATGTTGATAAATTCACCATATTCTCTTTCCACTATGGAAAACCTTCGCCTTAAAAACTTTAACTCACTCATGGCTAACCCCCAGTATAAATTAATAATAACATGATGTTAAATCTATAAAAGCACACATTTTTAAAGGAAAAATATTAATATAAAAAAAACACAATTATAAGTAGTTCTTGAAGAAAATCCAAACAAGATATTGAAAACTATACAAACTTCAAACCTAAACCACTATTTTTATTAAATACAACTCCTAAATTGTAAGAACACCACTGGCAAAATAGTTATTGGATTTCTATAAAAGTACCTACTATTTTAGAGTAATTTATTCTGTTCTATTATTAATCCAAACTAATGTATAAACATAGATCTATAATATTGATAAAGTTTGTATCATTAAATGTCATTAATTTTATGTCTGATTGATTTTGTGTATCATTGTCTTACTAATAATATGCAAATAATTAAGGGTATGGAAAATTAATAATAGTTTACTTTATAAACTATGATCCAAAAATGTTTCGTTACGAAAATACAGGGTGCTAAAGTTTTGGAAAAAAAAAAAAGAAAAATTATTTAATATTTTCGTAAACGCTCTAATTTTTTCAGGGATATTTAATATTCAGTGACAGTTAATAATGGGGCATATTTTTCAATAAAAAATAATTTTCCGCTTTAACAGTGGCGTGCCTACGGACACTAGCCTCAATATTTTTGCAGAAAAAAATGGTACGTCAATGGTTTTTTCCCAAATAAAAATGACAAATTTCCCGTTCAATTTTAATTTTAAAGGATCTCTTGATTGGTTTTTCTACGTTTTCGAGTAAAAAAATAAAAATGTTGTATTGTCCGAGAAAATTAATGTAATTATTGAAGAATGAAAGAAAAAAAATACATTTGGACCATAGTTTATAAAGCAAACTATCACTAATTTTTCATGTAGATTTATTTAAATATTAGCATATTATTAAGGAACACTATATTATTAGGTTAATTGAAACAGGCATAAAATAAAGTATTTGTCTCCTATAAATTTCTTTAATTATGATGTGTTCTCTTTGTAAAAGCACATTTTTGTTAATTCCTCAGTAACCTCAGAACACATATTAATAAATAAAAAAAAAATTATAAAGTACAGTATTGACATACTTATCTGAAGTCAATCCATGCATTCAAAAAAACCTATTAATAAAAAATATCACCACTTACTGTTTCAAAAACAGAGAAATTATTTTAAACGTTTTAAATTAATTTTAAATAATACGAATTATTACTAAGAGCCACTTTACAGTTCGCAATGTTCCTTGCTGCAAGTAAAATTTCGGCAGTTTTTCCAGAAATGTGTACAAGCCAACGAACGAAAGCAGTGTAATTTTATAATATATTGACATTATTTTAAGCATAATATGAACACTTTCAAAATATTTATTTTACACTGTAAAGTATACAAAAATGTCGATTAGTGTTGACAACTAAATATTGGGACACTTCAGTAAATTAATATAAAACAATTTTTCATAGCTTGTGGCTTCTCGTTTTGACTTAATAACAGCTTAAATACGATTTAGCACACTATTCATAAGCTTTGTACAAAATTCAGTGGTTATCGTTTCTCAGATTTGTTTTAATTTTACTCTTAAATCCGTTATTGATATTTGAGGATTATTTTGAACTTATTTTTTCCTTTCGTGCCAAACATTTTTGTCTACATTTAAGTCAGGACGGTTTGCCGGTCAAGATAATACTTTTATGTTGCACAAACCATTTCTTAGCTGAACAAGAAGTAGGGCATGAGGCATCAATGCTTGACAAACTATTTTGCACAATCTGATATTTTACAGCGTTAACTGTTTTGTTATTAACCTCTAGTTCTTCAAAACCACATACAGACATACAACACTATATAATTTGTCCTTTTGAGACAATCTTTCTTATTTCAAATCAATTGTTTCCTATAATCCCCACGGAAACGTCAAACTTAGACACCGCTGCATATAACTTTTTTTTTTTCAAGTCGCCCAAAGTCCGACTTTTCTTGAATTTTTTCCAATTTAAGCGCTTTATTTTCTGAGCTGCAGTGAATAGAGGTGGCAAAATAAATGAGTCACTTATGTAATTAATTCAAATACTCATTTATTTAAAGATTCAATCCATAAGGCAGTGTTTCTTCGTTGTTTTTACTAAACCTCTTTCACATTTTTCTCTTTTAATTATTGGTCTACCAGTACTATTAGTAGATTTTGTTAGGCCATAATGTTTCTCACTGAAGATCGCCCATTTTCAGATCGTTCCTATTTTTATTATATTGTGATAATTTCGCGTAATTTTAACAATCTTATTTGCTTAAGTTTGGAAATATTGTATTGGCTGAATTGACATTTACATTTACCTTCGTTTGCCGTCCCAACATTTAATTGTCGAAACATATAATTACGAAAAATAAAATGAAAAAAAAAATTGATAATTGCTGTTATAAGATGTTGAAAACAATGTTTTCAAATTTAAAAATAGTTGCCCAATTAATTTTAAATATTTTATGAACCAGTATTTGTGTGTGTGAGGTTAGATTTTTCCAGGGACTGTGTTCATTAGCCAATAAAAATTACTTGATTTATGAAGAAATCGTAATCGTCCAAACCATATTGTTGTTTGGGCTCATAATCTAGGGATTTTTAAACTGGCTGTTAGAGCTTATTTCCGCCATTTTTTTTTCCAGAATTTTTAGCTGCAATTCGACTTAAGGAAATACATTTTCATTGCCGAAATTTTACATGTTAGCAAGGAAAATTGCGAACTGTAAACTGGCTCTAATACACATCTCATAATGATGGGTCTATATATTTTACATTTTTTTTTTCTATAGAGTCCCATCAAGGGCGCAATTAACCCTTACGATCCCCACAACTATGACGAGGTTTATGCTGACCAATATGGCGGTTGGGGTAATCAAGGAGGCGGTGGAGGCGGCGGCGGTGGAGGTTTTGGAAACCGAGGCGGCCGAGGAGGTAACGATGGGGGGCCTAGAGGAGGTAACCGAGATGGAGGAGGCCGATTCGGCGGTGGTGGCGGTTTGGGTGGCCCAAGAAGCACTGGAGGCGGTGGCGGTCCCATGAACCGTGGAAGCGGTGGAGGATTCGGAGGCGGTGGAGCGTAAGTGCAATTTATTTCTTTTCTAAATTTCAAACTAAACCAAAAAGGCGAATGTTATTATTTGACAAAAATCTGTATACAATACAGATATATGCAGTTAACTTAAGTAATAATTTTATGATATATCTTAGCTACAGTTCTGTGTGATTTAATGTGCAAACAAGTGATAATTTAACAAAATTTATTGGTTACAAAGAAAAAAAGAATAATATTAAAATTTTGTTTTAATTAAGAAATATTAATTATGAAATAGTTTTATTCATTTTAGTCCGATATATTTGCCGGTATTTTGCTCACATAAAGCACAACACCACTCTCGCGAAAAATTTGATATTTGTCATACATCTCTCAAGCTAGTAAAACGACACTAGTGTGCAGAGTGAAGGTTTGCTATATATTTTTGCACCTATTTGGTCCAGAATGTGGATATCGATAGCATTACAGACATTAAATTTTTATAAAGGTATCACATTCTAAGTCATTTACTTAATATAAAAGTACCTATATCACTAAACAATTAAAAACATAGAGGCTCAACCAATTAATACTAGTTGGCACGTAAAGCGTAACTGTATTACATTCATCTGAAGACAACATACTAAAATAATCAGCCGCTGGCTATCTCGATTTTAGTTCCCTGTTCTTTCTGTCTTGTTATTTCTACTCTTCTTTAAAAATTAATTTGAATGCATAGGTAGCATTCCCCATTCGACCATTCACTGTTTGGTTCTAATTACCAGTGCGATTCCTAAAGTGGTACTGAGAAATGGTTACAAAGCAAGCATACATTAATAAATGTATCAAAAAAAGTCAAATCACTAATAGCAAAAAGTATTTCCATTATTTAATTTAAAATGTTTGACTTTTTTTCAGTTTCGGAGGTAGTAATCGCGGAGGAGGCGGTGGTGGCCTTGGAGGAGGTGGCGGCGGCAGATTTGGTGGCGGCGGAGGCGGCCGTGATGGAGGCGGTTTCGGAAACAGAGATAGCTTTGGAGGAGGCGGTGGCAGTGGCGGTGGAAACCGTGATAGTTTTGGAGGAGGTGGTTCCTCATTCGGATCTAGAGGAGGTAAATATTTTTTGGAAATCATAAAAAAGCTTTTAGTTTGTTTAAAAATTATTTTACTATTACAATATATTGCTGTTATTTTAATTTTTATATACATATTAGAATTTTGTCCCCTTCTTCACTCTTATGAATTACAATATTTAAAATATTTGGTTATTAGATCATAAGGGTGATTATCTTAATGTATATTATCAGTGTATAAGTACCTTAATAGTATATTACATTACGAGTGTGGAAAATCACTTTTCACACAAGAGATGTACAATATTTTTCCTACGACCACAAAATAATTTCATCAAAAAATGTAAAACCAGATTATTATAATAATTAAAATGTATTTAAAAAAATAATCAACAATAATCGTATTTATTCAATTTTCATAATTTCAAAATAAATAAAAAAAATTAAAAAAATAAAAAAAAATTCTGGCACAGCCAGGATTTGAACGCGGTCGCTCGACCGTCTCAAATTGCAAAGTTGATGCTCTAACCAACTGAGCTAACAGGCCTTACGGTAATTGATTGATCTAATCGATTATGTGTTTAACCAGAATAAAAAACAAATATATCTTAGTTATTTTAAAATTATTTTAATAATAATTGTTAAAGATAAATATCTAGGATCTAATTTACAACAATTTCCATAATTTAACAATCATATCGATTTTAGTATTAATATGGACATTACATAGATCAAAATAGAAATTATGTGTTTGACATTTTCTGACAGCTACTGCGGAAAGTAGCATATTCGTACGCGGGTGGAAAGTAAATTCTTATTCATACGCGTGTGATATAGGGCACTTTCCATAGGACTATATAGTGTGATATGTGTCACTTTCCTAAGTGGTCGTAGGAAAAATAATTTAAATGAATTGATAAGTAAGAAAAGTCAAATTTTCATATCTTCATGCATATTAAAAAAAAAATGAAAATGAAAATCGTCATAAAAAACGCGTGTTTATTTTCATGTTTGTAACCTCTTTAAAATAATATAACTCGAACACTAATTTTCACGTAATGTTTTAAATATATAATAAATCACTATGAAAGATATATTCCCCCTTAACGGAATTATCGAAAAAATGGAAACACCCTATTTCCTTATTTTGTAGTCTAAAATCCCGTAAAATAAAAACGTTCTTCAAAATTGCATAATACTTTTTTAAGATAAAAATTATTCTAATTTAATGGGTTGCTTCAACCCCTTGCAAAACAAATTATATTGTTTGAAATTATAGGTGGGTCAAACTCTTTCGAGAGAAATGGTTGGGGAGGTGGTGGAGGAGGAGGCGGCAACAGTGTCCCTTTTAGCAGTCCACCACCAAGCTCTGGCAACTCTTCGTTTGGGAGTGGTGGTGGAGGCGGAGGAGGCGCTTCTGGAGGAAGTAAAAATAGCACCCAGGTCACAATCCCAAAAGAGGTAAATTTTCTACAATATAAACAATTCTATTTTTTTTTTATTTTCCAATTATAATTTATATTATTTTATGAATAAGTCCATTCATTTTTAATTAGATATCAAAAAATTATACATATGAGCCAAAATATTTTTTCTAGCATAGGTCATGAATGATACAGGCAGATAAATGTAATATGTTGTTATAATTAATATTTCCTATATTTAGTTAGTTTTGCTAATATTACAATATACTTATTAATTAAATAATCTGTCATTTGGATTTAAAATGTAGCTACAGATTTAATTTTCTCTGAGAGTGCGTTATAGAGATCTAAACCTTTAAAAAATAGTTAATTTTGTGTTGCACTCTTAACAACAGTTTGAATATAAAAGTTATGTCTGTTCCACGTTGGATAACTGTGCACATTAGAGCTTCTTTTTTAAGTACCGTAAAGTCGGGCGACTTTGACCCGCATGGGTGACTTTAGCTCAAATCAGTAAATAGTTATTTTTGCTCACAAAAAATTATACGTCCTATTTTTAAAATAAAACTCACGCTGGTTGAAATTATGGCGAAAATGCGAATTTGGATTTGCTTTTATTTAACAATTGAAACTATGTTTAAATTTTGACAGTGAGTCAAAGTCACCCGACTTTACGGTACATCGGAAGTAACCTGTGATTCGTTTTATAAATAAAAATTAATGCATTCCTTAATAAAAGACTTTCGATTGGCATCCAATTCAAAGTCTCAAGTGATAGATTAATGGGAGTATATTTTGTACAGAATAATATTATTCACATTGCCGCCCTATTCTACAGCTTCTGTAGTATAGGTAGAATGATAGTGTTATATATAATAATGTAGTCTACTGTGATAAGCCAAATGAACTTCCATTTAGTAAAATTAACAAATGAAATACTTTTGATAGCAGTGTTGGTGTGGTCTGTTAATTTTATTTGTTTGTCTATCTTTATCTCTAAGTATTTGAATTTTTCTACTCTGTGTAATTTCCTCCAATTGTTTATCGACAACATGCACATAGTTATAGTTCTGACTTTTTTTTAATTTGTGTTGTTATTGCAATACCATTTGTAAACATCTTTCTTAGTTTCATTAATAACTCTTACTAAGTTATCTAAATCTATACAATAAAAATATATGAGGGCATCATCAGCAAAACGGGTCGATATCACATTGACATCAACAATATAATTGATATAAATCAAAAATAACAGAGAACCTTACTGTACTTCCCTGTGGAACACGTTTGTATTTGCTTTTAACCTTTGTCTGCTATTACTTAGATAATCTACATACCACTCTCTACTATACCCATACTTTTTAATTTTTGTATCAAACTTTTTTGATTGCAAGTCTTGTATGCCTTTTGGAGATATATAAAAACTGCCAGTGTTTGATAGTTTTTATTTAATTTATGTTTCCACTCATATAAAACACTGAATAGCTAATTCGCAGTTACGCTTGCTACTGATGCCCGATTTTATTCTAGTAATAAGTTTATTATGTTCTAAAAAAATAACTTATTTTTCATAAACGTCCTTAATAATTTTTTTCGATACATCACATAATAATAAAACCTATAGCTTTATTTGCAATCTTTATTTCTAATGGCGAATTTATCAAATTTAAAAGAGGTTCTGAGAGGTTGGAAAAACAGTTTTTGTAAATATTAATCTTAATGTCATCTGTGCTTCTTTTATTTTTCATTGTTTAAAAATATCTCTTAACAAATCTTCTGTACATAGTTGAAATTTCCCAAGAAAATGTATATTGTGTCTGTTTAAAATTTGATAATCTGGTATTGTATTATCAATCATATTAGCAATTATTTACTGCACAAGTTTCAAAATGAAATCAAATTTGTTATTTAACAAGTTAACTGCCGTACTAGTCATACAAGCTGATAGCTCACTATTGATTTTAAACTCACAAATTTTGTTGACATTTAACATATTCGTTTTCTTATAGCAACTAACCGACACTGTCTGTCTTAACGTTTTGCACATAGAAATTTTTAAAAATAAATTGTAGGTATTTACAAAATTATTTATTAAAAAAAAATTAAAAATTTCTATCACAAAGATATTATTTTATTATAAGATTGCCAATATAAGAATTGGGCTTCTTCGCAGTATTACATTTATATACTTTTTTGAGTTTATTTTTGTTATTAGATGACCTTCGGTTTCACTTATATACTCGTTACAATTTTTCCAGTATCTAATTTTGTATCAAAAAATTCATCCACCGTTCGTAAAACAAGTTAAAAATATATTGAAAATGGTTTTTTATATATTTTATAAAAATTCTCATAGTTCTTAGGGCTCGTACTTATAAATTATTACTTTTATAGTCATTCAACATTTTATTTGATATTTTTAACATTCTGTGTATAATATGCTCCGAAGTTTCTTGGGAAAATCTATAAGACCCATTTTATTTATTTTTAATTATTAATTAATCTACTTACATTGACATCTATATTATATATAAACTTTCGATTCCCAATTTAAATTAATATTTAACCAATGAATATTGTTGTAGTTGGCCGGTGCAATAATCGGTAAAGGCGGTGGCAGAATCAGAAAGATCAGAATGGATTCTGGTGCAAATATCACCATCGACGAACCTCTTCCTGGCTCCAATGAACGGATTATCACCATTCAGGGATCTCCGAATCAAATACAGATGGCGCAGTATCTTCTTCAACAGAGGTGTGTATTTTCACTTACAAAATAATTTTCTTTGGGAATCATTTGTCTCATTCAAATAAATCCAAATTTTTTAATTTCTATATCTGGATCAGTTATAATCATATATTTTTTTTCTACAACTGTTGAATAATATATTCATTATTACGTGATTTTTATAAGGAATATTAATAATTAATTACAAGTGTTGAATAATAAATAATTCATTATCTTTATGTGATAAATTATTTTCATTGTCCAACACTTTAATAAATCAATCAATCTAAACAGTAAAACATGTTATTCTATAAAAATCGCTTCTGTCATAAAAAAAATTAACAAAATTCTTCTTTTCTTTATAGTACCGATAGTGACCTCTAAGAAGTTTAACAGTAGGTGTTCTTCTTTTCTGCTTGGATTAGGCATACGGCCAGTTCATATTCGAATTTACACTTGGGACAGTGGTTCTTTACCAGTGCGTTTTAATGAAATATGTCGGAAATGACGGATGGGCTCTAATTTTGTCCTGCTTTTCCTGCTTAGTAGAAAATGATGCAACATAAAAAGTATGTGTTTTTATATTAGATAATAATGGCGCTCCTGGTAAAGAAACGCTGCCCCAACTAGAGTGTGTATTGAATTTACATACACTTATTTTTACTTGCTTCAATAATTTATAGAATAAAAAAGAAGAGCAAATTTTGACAGAATAGAAAGTAAAATAGTTTTTTTGTGGAATTATTAACTTATTTCAATGAAATTATTTGAATTTGGTAGAGAACAGTTATAGAAAAATTATATTATTCAACTCACAGTAATTGCTATTACAGTGCAAGAGCCCGTGACAAAAAAGTGAAAGAGTTTTGTCAAGGATCAAAATTTAATAATAGAAAATATGCCAGAATCGGCAGTTTAATTTGCAGGATTTCAAGGGTAAGCACATCTTGAAAGTTGTTAAAAATTAAAACACCATAAAACTGGCATATCAGGGTTTGAATTATTATAATTTATAGTTTTTACATTAATGAACATAAAAAAAAATAGTTAATCCACGCAATAACAGGAACCGCCGCGTCAACATAACTTCTATCATTTCGTAATGATTATTAGGTCAATATAAGTAGATTTTCAAATTATTAATAAAAAGGCCAGTCATATCTCAGTTTAACTGGACTTATCCAGTCAATAGTTGCAAAAAGTCATAAAACAGAGTACGCGATTTGCTAATATTCTTATTATAAATAAACCAACCATCCAAAAGTTTAACAAAGGTTGATTCATAGAGCTACTTTACAATTCGCGACTCTTCAAGTAATATAGCATCAAGTTTTCTTGCTGCAAGAGAAATTGCTGGCTGTATTACACTTCACAATTCATTGCAAAACCTTGCCAACTTAACTCACTGAACAGGTACACCAAATTCCAAGTTAGTTATGGTCAATGACTATATATACTAGTAGAGGATAGCCAAGTTCTCCACTTTCAGATGCAGGTTTTTTTTAATTTGTTCACTCAAAACTTTTTAAACAACAAAATACTGATTCGATTTTTTTACAAGTTCGTACTGGTAAAATGTTTCTTACAAAACTAATCCATCTTTCTAGTGTGTGTATAGTCTTTGCAACGCGAACTATGGAAAACATGCCATAATAATTAATTAAAACAAACATCATGTATATATTTTGCGTAACATAACTCAAAAACCATATTAATTAAATGCCAGGAATGTATACTCTAATGATTTTTAAACTGGTTGGCAGCGCTTATTTTCGCAATTTTTTCACCAGAATTGCAGCTCCAATTCGACTTGCGGCAATTAATTTTCAGTCTGTCCCTATTTTCTGCAATTGCAAGAAAAATTGCAACAGCCGATTGAAAGGACTTTAGTGGACAGACATGCAATACAAATTACCCCAATTTTACTTGCTATTTTCGCGATTATGTCTGTGTGTCTTATCTGTTTACTGGATATCTCAAAAAGCTAATTAAATTTTGGACATAGTCGAAGCACCTGGAGGGTTCTTTATAGGGTGTTTTTTTACTTTGAGTAATATCTCTTATTTACGATTGTAGAAACAAATTCTTCAAATAAAAGTCGTTTTGCAATATAATTCTCTATAATTTTTGTCATATACATGATTTCTTTAAAATGGAAAAATTTGAGGAAAAGTGTAAAATTTTAATTCTTCAGTATTTTCGTTGGCAATGAATATACATAAGTAAAAATATGTTTCATGGAAAATGTATTCTCTAAAACATTTACAGAGGTTGTACAAAATAACCAAAATAATAACTAGACAGAAAAATCATGTGTTTGAATCATCAGATTTTTATTATTCTTTAACTTGTGACAATTGATCTGAATTTTCCAAAAAAAATTAATTTAAATTGATCAATTAAAATTTAAACTTTAACAAAAAAAAAAAGAAAACCGGTCAATAGCTTAAGAAAAGTGTTTTTAATAAATAGTATATTGATTAGAATGAATTAAAAATAGTAAAATTGATGTCATAGAAAGATAAACTATTACCTTGTGAATTTAAAAAATTAATTTACATTTTTTCAATGTGTAATTGATGTATTGATTGAGATTGTCTAAACAATAACACAAATAGCACACAATAATTTAGAACTAAATGACACAGTGTCGCCATCCTATTTTTTTGATCCATTTTGTATTATTCTTGGAGTAGAACTATTGCTTTAGTATGCAATATAAATATTTAAAAAAAAAAATAAAAAAATCACATAAATTAAAATATCTAACTTGTTACTCATTACATTCTTTTTGAATAAACTGGCATTAGTAACCAATTAAAACATTCAACGTCCCGATATTATTTGGCATGTAATATTACATCACTGGTTCCAGTCTGTCAAATTTTTATTTTAAATAAATTGAATTCCATTCCATTTGAAATCGGACACCCTTGGATTTCTGACATTTAGCTACTGCTGACTAGGCAAAGGGTGAACCACTACAAATCTCCAAAAACATCACTGAAATCCTGATATCACTACCGAATTCCCGAAATCATAATTGAAATCACTTCGAAATGAATACTTTTCTTGCACCAAAATCAACATGATGCAGCAAAACGGTCATTGTGACTCGGAAGGTTCGATTTGACGATTTGGGGATCATTAAAATTTTCTTTAATATTCCTCACGAAAATTTATTTTTTTTTTTTTTTTGAAATTGTAACAATAATCATTCATTGGAAATTATAAATTGACGATTTCTGCGAAATCGTATAACATTAAGAATGCTGATTTCGACGAAATAATGTATGGAAGATTTTGGCGAAATCATACAAATTTTTAGTAAAATAAAAATAATAAAAATTTCAACTTTGATAACAGTTTTACAAAGCATTAAATTTTTGATAACTTTCAAGGTGTGATCCTGTTAGGAATTTCGCAAATTAAATTGCTCATTCTAGAATATTTATTCAACTAAATACAAACTATTATTTGAATTTTGAGCCTTGACAACACTTTCACTTTTGTGTTACGAACTATTACTCTCTCATAAGATTTAATCAAACACGTCTTCGAGAACAATAGCAATATCACTGCTTGGTTGACTAATATACTCTTATAAATTATTTGTAAAAGTGGAAAACTACCATTCGATATAATTTTAAGGCATTTTGACAATTTTACTGTAAGACTGATGGATTTATTGTTGTAAAAATTAATTTAAATTTGTCCTTCCATTTTACGTTGCTATAATTTAGAATGTTTCTGAAATGTTTAGAGCTGGTTGTAAGAACGATCATTTAAATTGACTCTCCAGAAAAACTTTGACAGATGTTTAGTTTGTGAGTTAGTGATGGACCTTTGCCGGAAGAGTAATTTTTTGATATTTCCGATGAACATTTCCATCACGAATATCCGAACAAGTAGTGAAAAGTAGTTGACTATGAAAAAAATTGATATAATGCTGTAAGGTAGTCGGAGCCATCGTATATTTTGCAGGAATCAGAAAAAAATCTTTTTTTATTTGTTCATATTTAGTTTACCTTTTCATTTTATTTATTTTTTTTTTTTTTAACTATTTTGCCTTTGTAAGAATTTATCCCATTTATTTAATTTCGCACCTAAGCTCACTTTTCCATTAAAAAAATATATTATCAAGCTCTGTCAAAGTTTATAAGGCTCATAAAGTGTAATGAACATTCTTGCAACTTTTAAATGTTTAATTTAGGCAATTATTAATTTTCATAGTGACTGACATTAACATACTTTTAATAATGGCAAAGGGCTTCACTCTAGTTTTAATATTAAAAAATTACCCAAGTTAAACATTTCTTTTAAAATGTATATTTATATTTTATTAATTGAAAACTTTAACATGAAGAGAATGGCTCTAAAAATTATGATTAGTAATATTGTTTCTTTTAATAATTTCTCTAACATCAGAAACGTGGTACTCGTTATGCACTTATGAAACGCTTAGTAAACATTTAGATTTTGAAAATATATTCTAAAACTCTAATTTTAGTAAATGCACCTTTCTTTCCTTAGACAGGTCGGTCATATGTATTTTTTTGCTTCCACTTTGCACTGTTCTGTGCCATTGAAATTCCCTTTACTAACAGTATTACATCAGGTTGGTCTTCGTTTATTTATTCAACTTATCGCAAACAATCTAAGCACTTCTCCCCACTTTAACCACTCTAATCTTTATTTATTTCTCCATCGTTTTGTTAAAAAAATTACAAAGTACTCTTCGGATTTTGCTACCCCTTTTCGCTGCAATTGTATGATCGACAAAAGTGCCTCTCAATATTTCCAAAACTGCATTATGAGTTTTCTGTTTTTTTTTTGTCTACTAATTCTCAGACCTTTTACTTCGTAATCTGTAAGTCTCACCGAATTGCTGAGCATGATCACATTGTATACATTAAACTCTATGAAATTTATCCGTTAATATAGAACAGGCTAAACTTTGAAGTAGGCTTACCTACATTTTGAATTAATTCATATCTCCAAAATCTGTGTTCATTGGGTTTTTATATTTCACTAATAATCCCACCTCTTATTCCTTTTGTATGCATTCAATGTACATTACTTTCTTTATGTATTTTTTCCATAACTTGCCTAACAATCAAAATTTGCATCTACCGTAATTTTTTTTTTATAAATTAAAATAACTTAATATTTGTTATTATAATGTAATATTTATTTACAAATATAAATATTCTTTTCAAGCTAAAGTATTCAGTTCGAAAATACTTTTGTAGAAAGATTAATATTTTTTGTAAGAAAACTAATTTGGGTTGTATGTACATAATACTTTACTGATTCTATGGAAATTAATTATAATTTACCAGGTGACTATAAATGATTGTGACTTTTTTTTAACGGTTGACAAT